CCATATCTGATTTTGTAATAAAGAAACAGTTCGAAAATGAGTCTCACAATTTGGTCCATGCTGAGTTCTCCGGCATTGTGTATGTCACTGTGCTATATTAAGCTAACTTTAGTCAATAAAACTATATGTACAGGGTGATCCAAAAGTCGCATTGCCATTGATAACCCTGTAAATTTTATATTTATTTACCAAATGGAATCATGTTTCTGTATGTGACAATATATTATTAAGAAATTTTATTGATCGAATTATGGAAGATGATGTCATCCAAATTTCCCCTGGTTGCTATTTCACAAATGTATGCTTTCTGCCAATTGTTGCGTAACTTTTGAAACACCCCGTACTACAAACTTCAATGGTATACTTTATTTCCAAACAACACCATGACATGCGTCAAATTAGTGTATTTGGGATTCTACATTTGTCAATGCTGCATTAATTTACACTGCTGATCATCTATACGTGGTACTATCTTTCATATCCTATTACTCACAAGAAAGTAAAATCGTCTCTTTATAATAATAATAATAATAATAATAATAATAATAATAATAGCAACAACAACCACAAAGTTTGTGTTTGCCCTCCTCCAGCCAAAAATTAAAAAAAAACAATCGACCAATGTATTTTTGGAGGATAATGCCTCTCAGGCAAGCAGTCTTTGTAATTAGAGTGCAGAATATCAAGAAATTAATTGTAACAAATTTAAATGTTCAACTTATCTTTTCGACTCAAATTTCTGAGATTACCGAGAGAGGACAATTTTATCTAATACCCTAATCACCAATAAATAGTCAGAACTCTTCTCTATATTCATAGTGTACTTAAAATTTATTTGCTTAAAAGTTGTTTTTAAAAAACACATTCCTGTACATAGAGGAAAAAAAAACTTCGATTATATAAAAAAGTATATAATACACATCATCATCATCATCATCATAATCATCATCATCATCATCATCATCATCAGAGCCATTTCTACTTGAAGACACGCTGCAAATCAGTGTGATTCCTCATCTTCAGCAAATTTGTAAATATATCTCCAAATCTCCCTGTCTTGTGTTAACACACGAAAGTGCTGCAGGTCTTCCAAGCTCTTCAAAGTTCTTACGAGGGAATAATGGAATGTTATTGATAGTTCTTTTAATGTCGTTCAGTGTGTATAGTATGGTTGTTCCTCCAATGTCTGTGGATGTTATTCTTCCACTTGATATTGACCATTTCCATATTTAATGTTTTCAAAGTTAAAAACTTCTGCTGTCTAACTCCGATATTAATATTAAATTCTTGTTTCATTTAGGTTTCGTCAACATACATCGGAGTCATAAATATCAACGTTCACAATAATTCGTGCTTTTCTTTTTTTTTTACTAGTCCTCTAACATTAAATACCCCGATGGTGATATTTTATATGCAATTGGTCGAAATTACAAAGTTTTAGATTAGTTGCTAACTTTTAATGGTTGACAATTGGAGATGTCATTACCTTTTCCGCCAAAATTAATGCGAATAGCCGAACAATTTTCTAAATAGATTGTCATACAATATCTTTGGGGAAGAGCACATTTAATATACGTAAGCTTAAGAAAAAAATAAATAAAAATAAACGTTTTTTAGAAATGATGAAGTAACGTCTTTTAAGAAATATATGATTTCTGTTAATAACTTTAATTTTACAATAGAATCCCATCGAGACGAGAAAGATAATTTGAACATTTTATTCTTTACTTCTCTCTCTCTCTCTCTCTCTCTCTATATATATATATATATATATATATATATATATATATATATATATATATATGTGTGTGTGTGTGTGTGTGTGTGTGTGTGTGTGTACACACATATATATTCTTTTAGGCATGTCTGATTGAATAACAGACATTATGTAATCCGTTCATACTCGAATAACCTTCCGTTTATTCATGTTAAAAGGATGAGAAAATGTGCTATAACTGTTTCTAATTTCCTTTATTTTAATTTCCCAAATGTATCGAAAGTACTTGGAAAATGAAAATAAAAGAAATTTAAACAGCTATAGCACCTTTCTCTTATTCTTTAACATCAATACACGGAAGGTTATTCGTGAGTATGAACGGATTTTGTTAAAAATTAACAGGCATAATGTCTGTAATTTATTCAATCACACATGCCTAGAAGAGAATTTGCTGCCTAGCTACACAAATTTTAACATGCGCAAACTTCGATAAATAGATAGAAAGAATGCAACTAACTTCATTGAATCACCGTTTTGATCATTCTCATTTTCTGGCTTTTTGTGTGTATGTTAAAATACAAGTAGACACGCAAATACATATACACGTATGAATATAATGACACATATTAATGCAGATAGTCATTTATACGCATTCATGAACAAATTACCGTATTTGACGGCATATAAGACACACTAGTGTATATGACGCACGCCAATATCAGCAGGGCAAATCAAGAAAAATTAGTAAAATTAGTAAATTTACATATAGAATGTTACGACACAGGGGAATTTTTTAAAGATATTTCTAGTAAAAAAGTGCGCCTTATATGCCGTCAAATGCGATAAGTACATTTTATTTCTGTGTGGAAACTGTTCTCATTTGATAGTGTCAAGTGATACGATAGATACCATATTATCCACATGTTCACAAACGTTCCCTCTCTCTCTCTCTCCACACACACACACACACACACACACATATATATATATATATATATATATATATATATATATGTTTCATTAAGAACGACTGACAAGGTACTGTGGTTAAGTTATTTTATTTAATTTTTATTGTGTTGTTATAATTTTATTATTAAGAAAAACCAAAAAACCAACACTCAATAACATCAACTATGGAAGCGGCCATAATGTGTTGACCGTGTTTGGAAAATAAAATATTCGTATACCTCTAGATACATACATAAAACAATCCGTTCATTCAGTTAAAAGTAAAAATAAAATCATCCTTGATAATGGCTAAAAGTATAACCGAAATCGATCAGGCATTAAAAACACTTGGACAATTTCTACAGAAAAAAATTATGAAAAACACAAAAAAAAAAAATTAAATTAAAAACTTAACCGCAGTGCATGGTCAGTCGTTTTAATGAGATTTGTATAAAAGAGGGAGTGCTACCCAAATACACAATTACACACACACACACATATATATATATACATATATATATATATATATATATATATATATATATATATCATCATCATCAACAGATAATTAAGTATCCAATATTGAACAACGAGAAAAAAGTTAACAATAAAATAAAATAGGTACAAATAACGCCATTCGGATCCACAATTATTTCTTCCCAATAGTTTCTAAAATAATTTGAAACATAGTCAATAACCGTTAGATTTCGCTACCCATAATGCATCATTGACCAGCATATATAAACAGTCGAGCCAAAACACAGCACACATGGCCTGAAGTTTGCGTTCATGCATGAGAGTTGCTGTCGCCCCTCGGTGTTGACATCAGTGTACATCTATATATATATATATATATATATATATATATATATATATATATACCCTATTGATACAAGTTAAATGCAATTCAACACATGTCAAGATGAGCAGAATTGTGTTATGAAGAGTGCTCAATAGATATCTAGATCAATGATTATTCTTATTCAACTCTGAGGAACGTTAGCGTAGCGAAAATGTTAGTCCGTTATAGATAAGTATTGTGAACTTTTTTATTTATTGATAATTTCTCAAAGTAGTTTTTGGGATAGATGTTTTGGTTATTTATGAATGGTTGGGTCACAATAAAAGTTTTCTGTGAACCTATCATGACATTGAGTTGGTTAATGGCTCGGAACTGTTAATCGGTAAGTCGAGTTCCAATTCCAGTTGACTTCGTCATATTCACTGACGCGTAAATACATCTGGGATAGCTATGAATCTACCATTTCTTCCCCAGCTATGGATTCGTTAGTAAGAATTGTATCTCTAAATCATTATTATCTGGGGGAAAAAACTTACAATCTAAAAACATTTTTTGCTTTAAATAACCGACAAAGGTTTGATAAGCTGTAAAAAATAAATCAATGTTGTTGCCAAGTATATTCATTTATAAATCTAAGTAAACTACTACATGTGGAAGTTCTGACTGCGAATGAATTTGATCCGTATTCTATTATTGTGGCTATGTGTGAGACAAAATTAAACTTTATAAATATCTTCTGATTGATAGGAATGTTCAATAAATCGAAAACGAAATCAGTCACTGCCGATTTAAAAACTGAAAAAAATAATTTAACATAGGGATGTCATTTTTATCGATACTTCATTTAAATATGTTCAAATATTTTCGTTCCTATTGTTTTGCGTCTTTTAAATCTTAAGAAATTAAACTATATTTGATTTTTATTTTATATAATGGAGCTGAGTGTATTAGTTTAACATAATTAAAACAGTCTTCGGTATTTCGTTAAGTGTATTCGCATAATTACAACTTGTATTAATTTGATTTATTATTTTATCATTTTAATAGAAACTATTAAGAAGCATTATTTTATAGCAACTCTGATAATAGTTATTTACAGTGTTACTGTCATGGTAGAGGGCTTGCGTGTCCCAGTGATCCAAAGAACGAAGCCGTCTGGAGTTCCAACTCCTGAAGGGCCACCGATGTCGGTAAGGTCGAAGAGGAAGAATCGGACTGAACGCGACCAACCCCCGAAGATCCCAACGGCGGAATAGGCAAAGATCTCCACGATATCAACGGCCAAACCGGCGGAAGAGGGCAGCGCTAGTCGGGCTGGCGTAACCAAAGCGAACCTTGACTAAGTATCCGACAGCCCAGGTTTACCAGATCTTGCCTGTCTCAATCTTCTTTGAATCACGAGGGAGGCGCTTCTGGTGGGTGGGATTCTCTGTCATGCAGTGTTGTCCACCAAAATCAAATTCACGTGAATGGCCTCGTTAAACCCTCTTTGATTCACAACTGTGTCCACTTCCACCACCAGGGGAGTGAAACGGAATAGAGAGAGAGAGAGAGAGGGAGGGAGGGAGAGAGAGAGAGAGGATGACGATCCAGATGCACGGAGGCGAGAGCGTGCTGACAATTTTCGCTACATAAAATTTTCAATGAAAATTATGTATGTTCTCCTGCGTTAACCTTTGTTTTGTGCAAAATGACATTGAAAGGTACAGAAGACGGCGGTAAATTTTGAGGAACAATAAACCACACTAACACTTTACTCATAAAGTTACTTATATCGATATTTCAGAGATAGATCTAAGGTTCAAGAAAAGAAATACTTTAAAAAACTAACATGTAAACAGTGGTTCTTCTACATTATAAATTTAGTTATACAAATTATTAAAGGAAAATACTTCCTCTTTACGTCATCTAAGCAGTAAGCTACTCTTTACAGACTACAAAGATCATATTTAACAAGTGAAGAAACGTTCTCTGACTGTCATATTGTCTTATCAGAGCCAGATTTGCGCGTCTGAAGCAGTAGCACTAATCCCAAATAAAATAATCCGATATTTAATAGAATAGAATTTTTACCATTTATCAAACTATAATATGTCATTATCATCAAAATGGTCGGTGCTGGTTTGGCCTGAGGTGATCTGATAGCCGCTGTGTGCAGAACCGCGTGAATCCGCAGGAACGAGCTGCATAATAGAGACAGGTAGATAAACAACCAAACTGGGGAGGAGTTGGTGAGTCTCTCAAACATCACAGGCAGGAATATAAGAGCCAATTTCGGACGAGCGGGTTCGCGCACAGACACAGAGAGAGAGAGAGAGAGAGAATTCTTAGTGTAACATAAAATGTTATGAAGTGTGAGACAGAAAGTGCTAGTATTAACCGGCACAACTATTACATTACAAATGTTTACGCAATAAAATCAACCTACAACCGGATTAATGATAAACGTTATTTTGTCATTCAGTCGAGCTCACTATATGAATCTATCACGCCAAACATCACTGCCCTGCGTCAAGGTCGGAAGGCCATTAGGGTGGCATCTTAGGTCATGGTTGGTCAATGTAGATGGTTGCTGAGAGACCCGCCCATCTTGCGCCATGGCTAGATGTCCAGAGCAGTAGATCACTCGCAAGTCCTTGTTTTGTTCGTCAGCAGTGTCCTGTAAACCGCATTTTTCGTTCACGTAAGATTGTAGGAATATCCATAGACCTGTGATTTAGTTGGATGTTGTCGCCAAGAGATGTTAAGTAAAGGTCTCAGCACCTGAGTTTAGGTTCCATCAACGGTTTTTAGGCAATGTCCAAAGAATGGCACCATTCATTAAAACCGATCCTACAGAGGCGCGACAGAAGCTTCGTTTGAGGTTGTCTGGTAGATCAGATTTCCAGACTACATCCATTTGATTCCAGGCCGCGCAGGCTTTAGCTATGCGAATTTCCACATCTTTTAAAGTAGAATTTAGTTCGCTTCTTAGATATGTAAAAGATTCGACAGATATTATTGATTCACTTGAGACAGTTTGTATCAACCAGCAATGATAAATCTAAACCTCCTTTAATAATAATGGTTGACCTTTCATCATGAAATCTGCCTGTATACCAACCTCCTCAACACAACAGATTTTTAACAGCGGGACGGTTATTATCTTTAAATATAAAATATTCGCATTCTTTCTAAAAAGGGGTAAAACATGATCACTTACTCATCATTAGAGATTGAACCATAGACTTCATAATCTGCGATTCAGGAATATATCACAGAGAGATAGCCACATATTTCAGTAAAGAATAACTAATCTGAAATGGGATTTTCATAAAAAAAAAGGCTATCGGCTTTATTTTAATCGTATATTAAAAGTATTTAATGTTAAAGAGAGAAGAAATACTTGTTGTCCAAAGATGATTGTACAGTGGTCTTTTTATCTCCCCTTCTTCATGTTTTTATTGTTCATCTACGTCAGTCATGGGCAACATTTTTCAAACAATGGGCCGCATGAGAAATACTTCATCATAAGGCGGGCCGCACTAATTAAAAATATATATTCATGGTAATTTTTCATTGAAGGTACCTCAGCCATTTTGACTATAGAAGACCATGCGTGTAAGCATTTGCCTTGGAAATGGGGGAAAGTCCCTTTTTTTTTCTTTGGGGAAAACTTTCTTTGTATAATTAAAAAGTTGAAGTCTGGTTTATAATCTTATCACTAATGAAAATGTGATTAATTCGCGCCGCTGCGTGTGATTTGTTTCTAATTTATTCATTCGACTACACAAAAATATTTTTTTAAAAGAAAATGTATATTTATTCTCTGAAGAAAAAAAACATTATTATGGGCGTTTCTTGTTTCTGAAGCAAAATATGTTTGCACGTATTATATTCCTTAGTGAAAATCACCAATGATTTAAAATGAGGAAAACGTTACCGTCAAAGAAAAAATAAAAAAAAAATTCACTTAGTCATTCTTCTGTACGTGCTTAAGTACGACAGAGTGTTAGTGAACAAGCGAGAATGAAATAAAATTAATGCAATTTTAATAAACTTTGTTTCCCTGGAGAAATTATGCGTACTATTCAGAAAGCCAAACGAGCCGCCTGTGGCCCCCGGGGCCGCAGTTTGCCCATGACTGATCCACGTTTTGTTTATTACTATTTTTTTTAATTATTATGAACATGTTTTTTTTTTTAATATATTTTAGTTTTTCCTCCCGTTTTTTTTTTTTTTTTTTTTTTTTCATCATTTCAGAAAGCATGGTGCGAATAGACCATATCTAAAATAAAGATTAATAAAAAAAGAAACTTTAAAAATATCGAAGCATTTATAATCCTCGGTCATTTTATTTAAATTTGTTAATTTCATATGGTTGCTCGTCCTTCAAATCCGTTTTTCAAAGAATAAAAGATAGAAAGAAAGACAAAAAATGTTTCGTTTGTTATTTTCTACCTTACTTCCATAGCAAATACCACATTCATTACTTTTTTTGATTTTTCTTTTGTTTTGTTTTAATATTTAATCAATATAAAAAGTTATGAAGAAAGCAATACAATTGAAATATATATATATATATATATATATATATATATATATATATATATATATATATATATATATATATATAAAAAAAAAAAACAGAACGCTGGTTTTAAAAATTAAGAAAAGAGAAAATCTGTGTCGTACAAGCTGCATATGATGGAACCAGGGAAGGGGATGAATGTTTGTAATATCCAATAAATGTTATCATTTTGTTACCATTTACGTCACCGCCTGATAACTGGTCATTTTGCCGACATGATTTTTAAAACAGCCTACCCCATTATACACGTACATTAACTTTTTATTCTATTATTATTAAGTTTTGTTACACAGTGTAAGTTTTTGAATACACCGAGGACATTAAGTTATCTGTCAATGAACTATCATTTAGTTGGATGTCGCCAAGAAATGTTAAGTACAGATCTCACCACCCGAGTGTAAGTTCCATGAAAAGTTTTATGTAATGTCCAGGCTTATTTGGTTGTAATATAATTCAACGCAGCTATCAACCAGTTGGGACCAGTCTAAACAGGCACAGACTTTTTTCATGACTTGCCTCAAAATTTGCGCTAATTATTATTATTATTATTATTATTATTATTATTATTATTATTATTATTTTCCATTAATGTGTTGTTTTGTTCAAAAAATACGTTTTTCTTGCAAAATTTTTTCATTTTAGTATTAAAAATTAGTTTTGCAAAATTCATTTTAGTATTAAAATAGCAAGAGAATATTTTTTAGAAATCTTTTGAATATACATTTTCTTTTCCTTTAATTTAGAAATTTTCTTGCATAGGTAGCATTATTTCTTAAATATATAGCTCAGAATTCGTACATCATTTACGTACTTAGGTTTTTGATCAGGGACGGATTTAGATGAAGAGAGGGCCTAACCTATTCCATGCCCCCCTCCAAATCCCCCATTCCCACGAGTAGAGGAAATAGAAGAGTGTTAAATTAAACAATTTGAGTAAAGCCGAGGATGATGACGGGTGTTTAAAATTACTAAAGGGTTATTTTTGAGTCTACAGTATGTGTGAGAAAGGCCTATGACAATGTCCAAAATATTACACACCTTGTTTGGAGGCTCCCTAGATTTTGAGGCCCTAGGCTTCAGCCTATAGGTACTGGTTTCGATACATGCATTTATGAAACATAAACTTTTGTTGAGTTGCTCCTTAGAACTATGAGTTAATCTTTGAGAAAAATAATATCCTCGACCTAGATTCGAAATCATTTTTATTGTTCGATTCAGAAAGATAATTTTTCAAGACGCTCTACTTTCAATAGCGATAAAGACGCGGAAATAAGAGAATAGAAAGAAAAGAAATATCATTTCAGTTGTTACCGATAAAAAGTGATAGCAAAGAAATATTATAAACAAGGAAAACTTTTCTAAATTTAATGTTTCCCTATACATATAAACCAATTACTGCTTCATATATACACCTAATATTTTAGTTGTTCGTTTTCATTATTTAGATACCATTTATACTTTGTATAAAAAGATATTTTGTAAATTTAATATCGAGACGTAAATTCAAAAAAAATGCATCGACAGATTAAAAATTAGCATCAAACCAACATAAACATATTTCAGGTTCAGTGAAGTTTTGATAAACCATATCAATTATTGCATTTAAAATTAAAAGAAAAATTCGTGTCTCCTTTATGATATATATATATCCTAATGAGCACGCACTACCTACCTAGGTTTCACTACATGGGATCATCAGGTAGCCAGTTCACCCTGATGATCCCATGTGGTGAAAACCTAGGTAGGTAATACCTGGCTCATTAAGATTTATTTATTTTACTTTTCGTCTACTTAGTGTATTGAGCATTCTTCTTTTTAACTTATTACTCGCTGTTTTTATTTTTCTTTGTACTTTAGGTACTGGACGATTTTTTTCGCCCTGTTCAGAGGTTTCTGGTGCTTTCTTTTTTTCCATTTTTCCTCAGATACCAATTTATTTAAAAATTGTGCTATCCAGATTTTTACACCCATCGAGTTTAAATATATTTACCTTATATATATATATATATATATATATATATATATATATATATATATATATATTAATGAATCATTAATACAAAAAATAAATTAGTAAAGTTAATGAGATAAAATGGCGAATTCACTTCGCTAACTAAATTTTAAAAATGCATTAACCCACTAACCACTTGATGAATGTTATGATCCATGTTTTTTAAAATTATAAACTGTCTTTCTTAAATAAGCAAGTACTTTCGACATGTTCTCCGGTCATCACAGCCATGGAAACTATTTCCTTTTTGTTAAAATTCTGGTAGCATCCAAGACGAAAAAATATGATGCAAATCGAAATATGATTTTTTGATGTGTGTTATCAATAACAGATACAAATTTGTGGAGAGTGCAGTCGCAACGCTAAGGTTGAATTTTTGAAAATTTAAGTGAGAGCGGTTTTTACTAATATAGCAATTTAATAATTTTTCATATATATTTGTGTATGTCTGTTTGTGTATTTATGTATGTATGTGTGCGTGTGTGTTATAATATTTCTTTTCGTGTTCCCAAGAGTTCGATTTCATTGAGGCAATTATTTTAAATCTAGACTTAAGTGAATTAGCAAACGTTTACTTATTTGGTTGTAATATAATTCAACGCAGCGATCAAACAGTTGGGATCAGTCTAAATAGTCAAAGACTTTTTCATGACTGCCCTAAAAAAAATGAAGGTATATTTTGTTAAGTCCTTATTAGAAGTTTTTCACATGCGACTCTTTAAATATATATTTTACAATTATTATTGTTGCACTGCGACACCAAAATCCAAAGGCACATTGGATAGCAAAAGTTTAGTAGGAAAGTCTCATTAGAAACTAAGAAAAGAGTACTTAACAATCTCATCACAGACGAAGAAATGGCAACAGAAATAAATGTGCTTCTACAGAAGGATGCTGAGAATATTATGAACTGAACATGTGAGCAACAACGAAGTTTTAGACAAAATGGGAAAAAAACGACATACTTAGCATCAAAAAGAGACAGCTGAAATTTCTAGTGTACATAATAAGGAAAGAGGGCTTAGAAAATTTGAGACTCACAGGACATATTGAAGGCATGAGGGACAGAGGAAAGCAGTGCATAACCTACCTAAGAAGATTGTGTAAATGGTTGGCAGAACAGGAATTAGGAGAGATAGAGAAAAGACAGGATTTACTAAGAGCTACAAAGGACAGAAAATTGTGACGAACCATTATCGCCCACGTCCTGTAGGAACACAGCACGTAGAACTTGAAGAAGAAGAAGAATTATTGCACTCTACTCTGATGACTTCCATTGTCATAAAAACGACACTGGTACCTGATGTCGCCAGTGCAAGGGAGAGAACTCCAGTAAAACAAAACGTTACAGACAAATCATTATAATGGTGTTGGTGAGATTAACCGTTCCCCGACGAGGGAAGATTCAGCACACATTGACCGAAGAGTTAGTATTACTGTCGGTTGAATTTTATAAGATCTTTCTCTTAATTCTTCGTTTACCAGGAAAATATGTTTCTCAAGTCCACTCTTACCACTCTTTCTAGTATTGATGGGAGTTAACTTCCTAACATTTTGTTTAAGGTAGTGTGGAAAGTCAACATCTTCATTATGTGATTATTTTCCCCGTCTAGATACATCTGCCATCCATTTTAGTTCTTGCTGCTGCTGAAAGTCTATAAGTGATGTGGCGTCTATTATTTGGTAAAGTCCTTTGTTTGTGATTCTGTAGCGCCATTTTTACGAAATCTGATGATGGACAGTCTTCTTCTAGACCTACAGGGTTCTTCGCTTGAAGTAATTTTTAATCATTGATCTGAGAGAATGGTTGTACGTAGCTGTTAGTTTAGACATTTCTTAACGAGTTCGACGCCATATATGACATCCATATGAGAGTCTAGATTTGACAAGGCTATTTAAGAACATAACTAGTTCTTAGGTTAATGTCTTGGTTTTCTAACATCTTGCGATGTTGGATAAAAGCTACCCCTGGCTCAGCTTATTGCGTACAATTTTCCTTATCTCCCACGTCTGGAGATTCAGTGACAATTTTTCTCAAATCTCCAGCACCTTACTCAGTATCACCTTACAGGTATTCTTTATTCCTATTTACGACTATGAAAATTTGTAACTGAATGTGATGGTCAGTCTGAATCTCAGAGTTCTAGAATTTCTCATTCTTTTTATTTTCAGCATTAACATCAGCTTTGTACTAATAACATTCATTTGTTTACATGGTGGCAATTGTTTCATACAATTTCTCTGTATTGACTTCTATTTTATCCTAAGTTTTTCAACAACTGATCGGAATCGCATCATAAATTTGTTTATCATTCTACTTATAATTAGTGATTTTGGTCATGGCAAAAATAGTAGGCTGACTGAAAATTATGCCACGATATGCACATAAAATGTTGGTAAGCAAAGAATAAGACGAAAAACTAAACTGCTTAAAGCATCATATGAAACTTGCGTCCGCTATTCGGCGCATGAAAAAACCCTGATTCTAGAATAAATAAAAAACATTTTGTTTTAGCCATGTTATATATTTGTAGTAAAGTCCTCATGGCGTTTATATATTAAGAATACCTTCACAGTCAAAGTATAGAAATGACAATATTTACAAGCTAGCTAGTATCTTTACCATTTAGACTTCCACCTCCTTTTCCCCTCTAGAAAATAGAACAGTAGCGACAGTAATGAGAGAAAAATCTCTATCCGGATATCTGAAGAATTATCGATTTTTTCAATGCAAATAAAACGGTGAAACACGATTGACAATATTTTCATGCAAAGAACAATTGAAATTATTGTTTTTCTCGTTTCTATTTTTCACACAAGGCAGGTGAACAAAAAAATGGTTTTAAAGGGACATTATGTTGGATATTTCTGTTCATTTTCATTTCAAGAACATCATATTTGTCCCCTCCCAGCTACCATCTTAAATCCGCTCAGCTAAAAATATTAATACACAAACACACCCATGCGTTCACACACACACACACACACACACACACACACACACACACACACACACACACACACACATACACACACACACACAGAGTCATACACATACAGGCACACACAAACAGAATGAAATCGAATAAAACCATTCTGGAAAGAATTAAGAAAAGGATTGGTAACTCCCGCCGCCCCTCAAAAAAAACCTCCAAAATTGCTACTCTGGCTGGAGAAATCCAAATACAAGATCAGACAGACTTAATCCACTGTACTGAACAGGTCACAGATACTGCTGAAAAAAGAAGGAATTAGGCTTTCTGCTTGATAAACACCAAAATATAAACACTTTTTAAATACGATCAAATAGCGCTCAATAGATTTCTGTCAATTTAAATTAAACAAATATTTTGCAAATTTTCCTCGTGTACAATGGATTAATGGACTCATATAAACAAAGACAAAATTTCAGTGTGGGGAGGTATCGCTAACGTGTAACTTTTCGACTAGTGTGTTCATTTGTGCCCATAGGGCTCTCTATTCGGCAAGCTGTCGCTAAAATAGAAAAAAAATTAGATTTAACATTTCTGTGCAAATATTTTCTATGAAAATTCAGATTTCACAGAAAATCACTTTTTTATTTTTTATGATTTGGTTTTATTTTGGTTTTTGTATATTTTTATTTTTAGTTTCTTTCTTTGCGTCTATCTCTTTCTATCTCTAACTTATTATTATTATTATTATTATTATTATTATTATTATTATTATTATGAATTTGGTTTCATTTAGACGAAAAGAAAAAGAAAATAAAAACAAAGAAATTAACTTCCACAGGATTGTTTGTTCAATAAAATTCTACCAGATCCATTACCGTTTCTTTTGTTATTTTTTTGCTTGCCCGACTCATTTACTTTACTAAATATGTATTTATTTATATTTTGCTAAACAGTAAGGATTTTATTTAATTATTTATTTATATGAAATTCGTGATCTTTTACTGAATTTGACAACTAGAAGGTTTAACCTTTCTATCATTCTAAGTATTAATTTGTTACTCTTTACATCGTTGTAATCCGACTTCACACTCGACTCATCTGGAGCACCCATACCTGATTCCCCTCCCCTAGAACGGAGGCTCCAATGAATCCGATCACTGGTTTTAAACATCATTCCAAACTAGACTTCTACAAGGCAAGCGGCTGTGACGGGGTCCCAGCCGTCATCCCAAAGAAATGTACTCCTGAGCTGCTTCCTAGTTGGATGGAAGTCCTCTTTTGTTGTTCTTGTTTTTTAGAATTCTGGAGAACCCTCTGACTTCTCAAATTATCGTACTATTAGTTGCTTACCGCTTTTTTTGGCAATGTATTCGAGGCTCTAACCAATGCTGAAGTGATTAAGTATTTTACTTCTCGCGACCACCTCTCGGACAAATATGGCTTCCATTTCGCCATGTCTACCCCTATGTTAACGGCTATCACTGAATTTCTGTATGAAGCTCTGGATAAGAACGGTGAAGATTGTGCTATGGTTCTAGATATTTCTAAGGCGTTCAATAGAGTTTGGCATGCTGCCTTTCTACGCAAACTCCAGGGCTACGGTGTCACGGGACGAATGTTTGATCTAATCCAAGCGTTCCTATCAAATAGTGAAATGAATATTGTATTGAACGGGTTCGCTTCGAGATCATTTCACACGGACGCAGACGTCCCTCAAGACTCTATGCTGGCTAATAGTCTATTTCTGATCTTCATCAATGATCTCCCCGATGTTCCCAACTTGGTATTTATGCAGATGACATTACCATTTACTCCTGTAAATCCGTAAGAGATAATAACGCAAATACATCATAGCTGACAAAGTAAATCTAGCAGCTGCTCTTTAAAAGGACCTCCAATCAGTGGTTAACTAGGGCAAGAAATGGCTTGTAAATTTTAACGCCTCCAAAACAAAAGGGCTTTCAATTAACCACCATAGAGAACCTTTTCTACCTGCCGCCGGCATATCTGACGCTAGACTTCATGAGACCAACACACTGCGTATTCTTGGCTCACATACAGAAAATGATTAACAATCTTTTCGCTCCTAAATATCGATATTGAAAATTGAGAAATATATTTCTTAACCAATAAAACTTCTGACTAAAATCTAACTTCCTGTGATCCAATTTTTTCTCATAAATAGTGTAACGGAAACTAATTTCAGGATAACTTCGACCGGGATGTAAATTATAATTTTTGCCAACTCATATTAACTTATTGAGTACTAAAGTTCCTTTTCGTAAATAAATCAGTTTGAACAGTTTTCATTACGAAAATACTTACGCGACACATAAACAAAGCGTAATTTCAAAAGCTGTAATAGTACTAATATTAATTGGCTAGTATTCTGCAACTAATTTTACGCTAGACACAGACACATAATATAACATAAATTGTGGAATTTCCCGAGATAATTTTATATAGACTTTCCACCCTATACCAACGCAATTCATTTCTTATGTGTTGTAAATAAAAACATTTTTCGTATAAACTTTGTTTGCGAGGAAATTTATAACTTTTCTAAAAGAAAACAAAGAATATTTTTATATTCAACAATAAAAATGTTTAAATTTGTAGAGCTGTGTTTGAAGATTATTTCTTTTCTTCACTTTTCCTTCACGTTTACCTCTACACTGAGATAGATAGATAGATAGATAGATAGATAGATAGATAGATAGATAGATAGATAGATAGATACGATTTGTTAACCAAAAGCGAAGAGGCCTAATTGGTTCTTATATCTTCAACAAGCTTGAAAGTCCTTCCCGTTACAATGCAAATCCAAAAATGATTTTAAAAACGATGGAACAGTTCTAAAAAACAGTTCGATAAAAATTCCATTTTTTTGTTTTTTTCTGTATTTTTCTTTCATACTGTCGGATTTATATCCATATATTTGCTTACATATATATATATATATATATTAAAATTAAACAAAATTTACATAGCACAGAAAACAAAAATCACTCCACTGTCAATTTCTACAAGCTCACGTACTAGTGAGGACTGAATGCATTATGACTGTTAACCATTACTTTGCAGTGGGTACCTTCAGTCATTAAGATATAGATGCATAAAAACTTCAGTTAATACTTGCGTAAGACCACATTTATGGGTGCCGTAACCTTTGGATTCGTAACACTAGCAAGACTAGCTTGTATGCAGCTACTTATAAAGAAAATCGCACACAGCAAAACTCAACGTTTGTTAAGCAAGTTGATTTGTACTAAGTCGCTAATATTTTATCTTTCATTGCCTAATATCATCGGGGTCAGTCTGAGTAACTTATTATATGTATGTATTATAAACGTCAGTATTGACAAATTTTCCGCAAAAAAAGTTTTAAAATAAACTAAAATGTGAATATCTCATGAAATCTGCACTCAACCAGTTACAGCGTAAAAATCAATATTTCGATATAATTTCTCAAATCGATTAACAAAAATAATGAAATGAAAAAAAAAAAAAAAAGACTGTAATCAATTTTGCTAAGCAATTTTCTCTGGCGTGTTAAATCCCGCCACATCCAAGTTGGTTGCTTAGCACCAAATCCGTCTTAGCGAATTTGGAATGCAACACGCGAGAAGTTATTCTCTTCGATTTGTTTTCTTCTTCATTTATCTTGTAGCATGCAAAAAAAAAAAAAAAAAAAAGAAATGGTCAGTGAAGAATAACTTTGGTCAAAGGGATATTGACTACGCATATAATTTCCGGAATTATTTTTTGGCTGTTCAAAGCGTCATTAGATACGGCTCATTTTTTATGTGTCACGGTAGTAAGAAAAGGAAAAGTTTTATGGAATTAGAAATTGCAAAAATTCCAGATAATATGAATAAAAATAAAATGAAAACTTTTCTTTACCAACGCGTTTCGTTCCCTGGGGGACTTTATCAAGATAAGTGTAAGAATTTATTTTGCAACATGTATTTATAATCAGAAGTAAAATATCACAAAGTTTTCAAAATTTTTAAATTTAAGAACAATATTTACTTGTTTATAAATGCATATGGCAAAATAAAATCTTTACATTTACAATGATAAAGTTCCTCGGGGTACTAAACACGTTGATAAACACATGTTTCCCTTTTCATATATATATATATATATATATATATATATGTGTGTGTGTGTGTGTGTGTGTGTGTGTGTGTGTGTGTGTGTAAGGATATTACACCGAAAAAATGTCATTTACACGTCTTTTGAGTGCAATATCCTAAAATAAATAATACTGCTCTACTTTTGTATTGAGCCCACTTTTTAGATCAAAAGTTACTATCTATTCTCGTCTTATCTGAATACATATATATATATATATATATATATATATATATATATATATATATATATATCGTTAAATATGACAGACAAGGAAAATTTAACTCATTTTTTTTTTAGTTTTATAGCGTTCTTACATTTTTGCGTTCGGTTGGAGTAAAAAAAAGAACGCTGTAAAAATTTAAATAAAAAATCATCCAAATTTCCCTTGTCATATTTAACGAAAGATATTTAAAAGAAAGGTTGCTGCTCAAATATATATATATATATATATATATATATATATATATATATATATATATATATATATATATATAAAATGCTAGCTTTTGTGAATAATCAAAAAATAGTGATGAGTTAAATTTTGGAGAGTATATATCAATAAAGTAATTTCAAAAATACTATCCATTTATGAGCGACTTAAAAAGTAATCCGAAAAACAAAAGAATTTAAGACAATCAAAATTATCGCGTGTTATTTTAGTTAAAATTAACAACACAACCTATTACATCATCTGCGAAGACGTAATATCATTTTAATATAAATTTTAATTAGAGTTATTTTTTATTGATACCTTAATTAGAATCCAATAAGAAGATTTTAGTAAGGTTGGTTGACTTAACGACATATCAAACATTGTTGGATTATTTAATGTCAGATTTTGCCTGTGGCGCCAGTAATGCATAGAGACGAGCAATATATATATATATATATATATATATATATATATATATCCGCGCATACGAGAGCGCGAACGTGCATCCGCACAACCATGCGCAATGGTTGCACACGGGCAATAGCACACATGAACACAAACCATACCAAAAATTTACACGAATGATCAGTGCATAAAAAGGAAAAATCGAAAAATATAAGCAATCAATTGCTGATATCCCCTGAAGAGTGGACGGACGGACGGACGGACGGACGGACGGACGGACGGGCCCGTCTACGAAAAGTCTGGAGCCGTGTGCTGAAGGTAACATCAATCAGCTAAGTGACAAACTTACATATATATATTTTTTGCTTTGACTAAATTCGGACGTTGCTAGAAAATAATATTTAGAAGGGTTACATATGGCACAAGGCCGGGTTTAACGTGGGATTTCCGAGCCCGTAGGCTCGGCCAAAAATATTCCCTCTTTGAACCCGCATAAATGGGTTCAGGGGCAGTCAACCACCCCGTACGAGACTCTGCCCTTCGGCGGAGCCTCGTCCGGGTTCCTCTCCATCCGAAAGCAGAGAGTTAGACTGTTACTTACCCCAGAGGCAAGTTGCTAGAAAATGGAATCGGTTTCAGCTGACATCTATATATAACGGTTACACGGAACCGCAAAAGCATGCCTCGAGTATCTATGTGTTTTTTTTTGGGGGGGTTTTTTTTTTTTTTTTTTTGTTTTTGTTTTTTGTTGTTTTTTTTTTTTGTTTTGTTTTTTTTGTTTTTTTGTTTTTGTTTTTTTTTCATCATTTTACTCCAAGCAAGGTAATAAATCCATTAAGAAGCAAGTGGGTTACTGAATATTAGAGAATATGAAAACACTATTAAGGAGAGAGAACAATTAAAAGAACAAGAATTAAGAAGACAGTAGATTACGATTGACATTGCATTTAAATTTTTGAAGATCAATGTTGACTGGAAAGCAAGAAGCCGGAAGAGAGTTCCATAAGCGATAAGTGCGATAGAAAAAATTGTTAGCATAGAACTTACGGTCACATCTAGTCATTTCAACTGTAAGATAATAAAACTTTACTAACTTGCTGATTTACCCCCAAAATAAATAATTATCGATAGGTTTAATAACGATAAGTATTATAAACTAAATTGCACCTAGCATATTTCCCATATAATTATATGCTGAAATGTGTACCGATATAGATTGTTTAATACTAAATTTATAGTGAATATATTGACTTGCATAGCAAAAATTCACATATGCCGTCAGTCGACACATACAGGGGCTGAAGTAAGGCTCTTAAAGCTTCAAAGAAGATAAATTGTATATTTAAAGACAATTTAGTAAAGTAAGAATGCAACTTTGGTTTTAAAATTAGCAAGTGAAAATTTCGTTTTAAAAGCCAGAGAAAGGTCAATTCAGTCTATTTGATAAGGGGAAAGTTCGTTCTGTTTTTATAGTTTCAACTGACTACATTCATAAAAGATAGCTTTACATTCAGCTGTAACAATTCTTATATCAACATATATTAATTTTCGTGAGAAAATTGTGTATTTTTGTTTATTAATTTGATTGCTGAGAATTTTTAAAAAATGCAACACTTTCGGCATATTTCATGAGATATATATAGCATTTTAGGATTATAATTTATTCTGGTGTTTGCAACATAGACTCAATGAAAGGTTGTGAGAGAATGGAATTATGGCGTTGCCTGAAAAGTCGTAGGAGAGGTTGGTGCAAAACGCTAAATAAGCTTTATCAACAGCTCATTTGCTGTTTTGTTCCATTAAAAGATGAAAGTTGATTTCGAAAGTAAAATAATAGGATGCTTAATAAGTTAAATCCGAAAAAACAAAGTTAATGTTAAAATAAAAGTAAATAGGGAAAAAAAGTTTTATGAAAACAAAAAAGTTTTTATGAAAGAGTGTTTTAATGTGTTAATGTCGAAAATAAAAATGAATTTTGAAATGTTAATAAGCTATTTAATATTTTAATGTCGAAACTAAAAAAAATAATGTTAAAAGCTAATGTTGAAAAAAAACCTGTTTAATATTTTAATGTTGAAAATAAAATGTTAATACTAAAGTAAAAGTTAACTTGACAAAAATATATGCTGTTTAACATGTACATTAATAGCATATTTTAATGATAATATTAAAATAAATATAAATGTCGAAATAATTTACTTTTTTTACATAATAAACCGGTCTTACACTATACATTGATAATATCTGAGAAGATTTAAAACTAGTAATTAGAAAATCCAAATGTATACCGATGTCGATACTAATATAGTAATGATTAGCCGCGGAAAATATTAATAAATAGATTCTTTTGGAATTTTTTATATATTACTGTTAACACAATACAAGGCCCCAGAGCCGCTCATGGTAGAGGGTCCCTAAATGAGGTTGGTGTAAGGACGTAAAGGAAGGATGTAAGAAGTGCATATCACAAAGATATGTAGGATAGAAAACATTTAACCCTAGACTTGCAAATATTAACACTGTAGTGATCTGAAAAAACATCTTCCCGGGAATCCGTTCCACAATGCAGCAGTTCTGGGAAATAATCTTTTTGAGTGGAACTTCCGTCCTCACTAATGGAATTTGAACGGAATGAGAATTATCCGACTCAGTGTTCTTGAAATAGCAGGTCTTAGCTGTAAAGGTCCGGACTGATAGAACCATGGAATTAAAAAAACCTTCCCCCAGGGAAGATCTGTTTTTAATGGATGTTTGCCTAATACAAAGCCCAAAAAGCCAATTAAGATAG